AGCAATGAGAGATGTAGTGCCCAGCAGCACTGAGAGATGTAGTGCCCAGCAGCAATGAGAGATGTAGTGCCCAGCAGCACTGAGAGATGTAGTGCCCAGCAGCACTGAGAGATGTAGTGCCCAGCAGCACTGAGAGATGTAGTGCCCAGCAGCACTGAGAGATGTAGTGCCCAGCAGCAATGACGGCGGAGGCCAACGGCTTCAGATAGAGGCCAATATGCATATAGATGGAGCGGAGTTAGGGAATAAATGACGCGAAATGCATGAGGCATGAACCATTGATTGATTATGTGTTCTGCCTCTGCGTGCCCCTCCCCCACCCACCCTCCTCAACCTCTCCCCCCATCGTACCCTATCCATGATTCCCCCCCCTAACTCTGTTCGGGTGGTGCCTCACTCCATGCCTCACTTTAGATCGACGAGATAGCATCGAAGCACCACCCTCACCTGGTGCGGCTGCTGGGCTATTGCGTGGACTATGACGCGGCGGCGGAGAGCATGGAGCAGATCGCCATCTACGAGTTCATGCCCAACGGGGACCTGCACCACCGCTTGCATGGCGATGGTGACACAGGTGAGCACCACCTCATGCATGGTGATGACATAAGTGGGCATGCATGGACTCTTAGGCTTCTCACAAGTGGGCACCACCGCATGTGCGGCGAACACACGGGCACATACGGACTCCCAGGTGTCTTACGGGTGTGGGATCAACAGCGAGTTGGAAGCTGTGCTGTGCTGTGCTGCAGCAGAGGGTGTGGAATCAATTGTGAGGGAGTGGGAGCGAGAACAAGGGGGGGGAGGCGAGAGAGGGATGTGGGAAGGAAGGGAATGCAAGCTTTTTGGAGGAGAGGGAGGCAAGGCTGATGGTGACGGTGCCCCTTGTATGGTGAAGGTGTTGGATACATAAGTATTTTTTTTGTATTTCAATCTGCCGATGTCATCGTATGCGGCGTGTTTTAGAAGCTTAGTTTGATTGAGCTGATGAGTAAAGCGAGTCGTCTAGAATCGTGATGAAGTCAACGCTTCCTTCGGCCAATAGGAGCTGCTGGTGGTGTTCACAGATCGAGATTGACCCTCGAGTGTTATTGGTGAGAAGATAACTACTACAACGGGAGCTAGACTACGGGCTAGGCACGGGTGCTCGTGTGATCTCTGCGTTCGTTGGTCCTTAGTCGTTTTCCTAGTGGACACACTGTTTGCTAGTTCACGGGGCAAGTTGGCAAGGGTTTCACTAAGAAAGGTTGACAACAATGGTACAATAAAGTTGGCATAGCAAGACTACATCAGAGCTAGCATTCAGGTCGGTCGACTGCCAGCGCAGCTCGATCGACCGCGTTCCAGCACGACTTACTCGACGCCCAACTACTCGGCGTCCTGAGTCAAGGTCGACGTCGGCCCCTCCGCCGTCGACCACCAGGTCAGGTCGACCACCGGGTCAGGTCGACCACCAGCAGGTCGACCAGCAGGCCTGGTCGACCAACCACGAGGTCGACCAGCAGTCCGTCAGCCAACCACCGAAGTCGGCTTCCCCAAGTTGACTTCACGAATCAGTAAAGAAACTGACCCTAAAACACGTTTTTGCTATTTTTTTTTTTTTTTTTTTCTGAATTGTTGAATACATCAAAGGGACAATGTATACAAACAATAGCAGTCGTAACTGACGTTAAGAAATCGCTAACTGCAAAACCGTATACAACAGTCAATGTTGTAAATTTTGAGCAACTGCCAAGTTAGGTTACAGGTGCATGTGCGTGTGGTTTCACCTGTCGTTGCTGACTAAGCAAGACACCGGCTTAGTCCCTGCAGAGGTTCATTGTTTTTGCTATTGGTTCTCCTTGCTTGTACCATATTCTTGTTCGATCAATTTTCCTAGTGAAACTATGATTGAATTGTACAAGGGCAACCAAACACTCTGTCGAGAATCACTGACAAAGCTCTGTCCGTGCGCATCACGCTATCCAGCTCTCCTGTAAATTAGCATTCTTTGCAGTGGGGAGTGACGCGAGTGTTACCTGATCACGGATCGAGCTCTGCTTCGGTGGCGAAATCAGCGAAGTGATCAACGTGAGCTTTGTTACTCGCGTCTGAACACTGCTGAGACATTGAACTCGCAAAACCGTTCGATCATCGCACGTGTCGAGCAATATTTCGTCAACGGCGTGAGAAGTTCCATTGTTCGCGACCCCGCAATTCAGCTCGCGCGGTTGGGCCAACAGAGCTTGCTACTGGAGCGACGAGTTACCCTGCACACAGTTTGAACAGACTGATCCAAACCGGTTTAGAAACGGCACAAATATTATACTTGGATCGGGACCGTCAAAATAAAAGCCACGCGAACATTTGAAACAATGTCTCGCTGGCGAACCGCGAGCCCGGCAGGTCACGAAACATGAGGCTGCAATTTGTAGTTTAGCACTTATGGTAGACTATATGCTTTGAATTGTATGCCTTGCAAAATTGAAAAATACAACTTGGTTGAAAAAGCTCTCCTCGAAACCGTGCTAAAGTTAACCGAGCTACAGATATTCTGCCCACGCCGACGAAGGAGAAGAGCTGACTTGCTACTCAGGACTCGTATTCTCTCGACACATTCGGACCCTTTGATTAGGGGCTGACTTCGGTCAGGCACCCAGGGACCCTTGAAGTTGACCACAAGGAGAGGAGTTTCTTGAGCTATTAAGGTTGGCAGTAGTGGAAAATTGTAATTTTTACTTTTTATGAACAACAGGAAGGGCAACTTTGCCTGCCCCAACTCTTGCTGCTCTTGCTCCTCTCGATATAGGCTTGTCTGAATTTTCTTCCGACCCCTTTCCATTTCTTCTCTTTTTTGCAATTTGCATCAGGTAATAGCACCCCCCTGACCCTGCAACAGCGGTTGGACATTCTGATAGGAGTGGCGCGCGCGCTGGAGTATCTGCACAGCTTTAACATCGTGCATCTCAACATCAAGCCCGCCAACATCCTCCTGGACTCCAACATGCAGGCAAGTGCGTTTTTCGAGTGCGTGCGCTGATGGGCATTTCGTGAGGAGCAAAACCTCATGCTGGTGCGTTCTCTCCACTAAAAGCCAATGTTCTCTGCATCTGGACAAGCCGTGACTTCGTAACACGTCACTCCATGAGGATCACTCTGTCACTGATTCATGCAGAGCACGGTGCTCTCTTCTCCCTCCTGCAGGCAAAACTGGCAGACTTTGGCTTGCCGATAATGGACGAGGGCAGCGGGTCACCGGAGTCCACAATAGTGGTAGCACGAGGGCGCGTCTTTGGCTGTGCACTGGGCTCTGTGGTGGACTTTGACGATTCACGCAACGCCACTCCGCGTGCCGATGTGTACAGGTAGGAAGACGTGTGCATTTGCACATGTGCATATGCTGCCCTTTTATGCTCTCTGCCCAAGTATGCCTGTCGTCGTCTCTCGTCCACTCAGGTGCTCTCTTCTCGCTATAGTGCTTTCGTTGCACATGGTTGCTTGCTTGCCTTCATTGCTCATGGTTCCATATGGGAAAGATCAGCAAGAGAGGCATTATACACCTCTCGAATGGTCCTAATATTGATTTTTCGACAAGTACAGGCATTATATACCTCTCTCTCTCACTAATGGTCCTGATATTGATTGTTCAAACATAGTGCAGGCGGAGGGATGGGCATGCAAGGTGAATCGTTCTAGTCTAGCTTATAGTAAGCATCAAAGCCACCTACGCTACGCCCAGTACTGGACTCAACAAGGGGTTCCAGCACGTCAAAGCAGTCCCCAAGGGACAGTTTGGCCTCTGTTCCTCCTACAGCCGGGTTTTTTTGCCACCGCTGCCAAGTTGGATTTGATGAGGTAGCCAACGGACTGGCACTCCTGCCAAGTTGGATTTCCGCACGTGGCCATCCGCATGTCTCTACGGCTAAGGGGAAGAAGCCGACGTCATCAGTTCAGTTCCCGCACTGGGAGATCTTCTTAGCCGCCTGTTCTCTCTAGCCCATTCCCTCCCTTTGGTTGCCTCGGGGTCTATTGTGCTGATTGGGTCTGTGATTGTCACGTCACCGACCCAAACCGCTCCCAAGCTCTTTTCTCGGATTGCAAGGTATGTGTTTTGTTCCTCGACCGGACAAAAGGCTGTCGTTTCCTATGGACGGTGAATCCTGTATCCTTTTGCCATGCTGATGCATGTGTCCCTCAGTTCGTTGTGGGTGGTGGTCCTGGCCTTGCTGGTGCCGCATCGGAACAGGTTGGTTGGGCAGCCGTCGGTCTGGCATGGCGACTTGCTTTGCGCGGCCACACTTGTTTGGTGCTGAGAAGGGCAAACCGAGTCTGAACTAAACTGCATTTGCAAAGCGCTCCGGGCTCGATCTCCTGGACGGCACTATGGTATGACGAGCAACCAGTCCCCGGCTCCGCATCCAGCGAGTGAGAACAGGCGTTGTGTATGGCTTGAGAGGGGGTTCAGCCGCGTGCGCCTCAACACTCAAGGTGAGTGCGTGTTGTAGCTTCATTCCCACCGGCTCACTCATGCCTCTCTTTTTGAATGAGTTCCAGCACGTCTGCTGGTAGGCCAGTTCACATTCCGCGAGCCAGGCGTGAAAGGGGGTAGTGACATCACGCGGTAATGTCAGCAGTGTCTTGACCATGCCCAGTGGCCCATCTGGCGTCAGCGATAGTGACTTGAGTAGGTGTGCCGCCTGAGTGAAGCTCACTAAGAAACCGCACAGCCCTTCAACTGTGGGGTCCAACAGGCCCCTCCGAGCGAGGGCGGGAGTGATGCCTGCTCCCAAACTCCCTTCAAGTGTGGGCTCTGACATCGCCGTGGGGAAGGCGGGTGCCGCACGCTGTAAGTAGTGTGGTAAGGAGGTCCTTCCTCCATTGTGACCACGTGGCACGGGGAGGGAGGTTGAGGGGGGTTGTTTGTGTGAGGTATGACACTCGCCGAAAGATGCAGTGGGTAAGTAGTAGGGATGCCAACTGTGGGTCTGTCTGTGCCAGGGGGGGAGGAGGCTTCGCCATTCCCCTCAGTTGGCAAGACAACTGCGCCCGCGTTGGTCCCGATGCAGTTGGGGCTCCACCACAATGTGTGCCGCGTGGACGTAACACAGCCCAGCCCCACCAGCAGACACCTGGACGTAACACAGCCCAGCCCCACCAGCAGACACCTGGACGTAACACAGCACAGCCCCACCAGCAGACACCTGGACGTAACACAGCCCAGCCCCACCAGCAGACACCTGGACGTAACACAGCCCAGCCCCACCAGCAGACACCTGGACGTAACACAGCCCAGCCCCACCAGCAGACACCTGGACGTAACACAGCCCAGCCCCACCAGCAGACACCTGGACGTAACACAGCCCAGCCCCACCAGCAGACACCTGGACGTAACACAGCCCAGCCCCACCAGCAGACACCTGGACGTAACACAGCCCAGCCCCACCAGCAGACACCTGGACGTAACACAGCCCAGCCCCACCAGCAGACACCTGGACGTAACACAGCCCAGCCCCACCAGCAGACACCTGGACGTAACACAGCCCAGCCCCACCAGCAGACACCTGGACGTAACACAGCCCAGCCCCACCAGCAGACACCTGGACGTAACACAGCCCAGCCCCACCAGCAGACACCTGGACGTAACACAGCCCAGCCCCACCAGCAGACACCTGGACGTAACACAGCCCAGCCCCACCAGCAGACACCTGGACGTAACACAGCCCAGCCCCACCAGCAGACACCTGGACGTAACACAGCCCAGCCCCACCAGCAGACACCTGGACGTAACACAGCCCAGCCCCACCAGCAGACACCTGGACGTAACACAGCCCAGCCCCACCAGCAGACACCTGGACGTAACACAGCCCAGCCCCACCAGCAGACACCTGGACGTAACACAGCCCAGCCCCACCAGCAGACACCTGGACGTAACACAGCCCAGCCCCACCAGCAGACACCTGGACGTAACACAGCCCAGCCCCACCAGCAGACACCTGGACGTAACACAGCCAGCCCCACCAGCAGACACCTGGACGTAACACAGCCCAGCCCCACCAGCAGACACCTGGACGTAACACAGCCCAGCCCCACCAGCAGACACCTGGACGTAACACAGCCCAGCCCCACCAGCAGACACCTGGACGTAACACAGCCCAGCCCCACCAGCAGACACCTGGACGTAACACAGCCCAGCCCCACCAGCAGACACCTGGACGTAACACAGCCCAGCCCCACCAGCAGACACCTGGACGTAACACAGCCCAGCCCCACCAGCAGACACCTGGACGTAACACAGCCCAGCCCCACCAGCAGACACCTGGACGTAACACAGCCCAGCCCCACCAGCAGACACCTGGACGTAACACAGCCCAGCCCCACCAGCAGACACCTGGACGTAACACAGCCCAGCCCCACCAGCAGACACCTGGACGTAACACAGCCCAGCCCCACCAGCAGACACCTGGACGTAACACAGCCCAGCCCCACCAGCAGACACCTGGACGTAACACAGCCCAGCCCCACCAGCAGACACCTGGACGTAACACAGCCCAGCCCCACCAGCAGACACCTGGACGTAACACAGCCCAGCCCCACCAGCAGACACCTGGACGTAACACAGCCCAGCCCCACCAGCAGACACCTGGACGTAACACAGCCCAGCCCCACCAGCAGACACCTGGACGTAACACAGCCCAGCCCCACCAGCAGACACCTGGACGTAACACAGCCCAGCCCCACCAGCAGACACCTGGACGTAACACAGCCCAGCCCCACCAGCAGACACCTGGACGTAACACAGCCCAGCCCCACCAGCAGACACCTGGACGTAACACAGCCCAGCCCCACCAGCAGACACCTGGACGTAACACAGCCCAGCCCCACCAGCAGACACCTGGACGTAACACAGCCCAGCCCCACCAGCAGACACCTGGACGTAACACAGCCCAGCCCCACCAGCAGACACCCTATTAACGGGAGTCCCCTTTTCGCGAAATGTGTGATGGGAAGGCCGATGCACCTGAGGTACGCTCGCCGTGGAATGTGACGTCATCAGCCTGATGCCAGGCTGAGCACCGACGGGTAAGCTGCTGGCGCGTAGTGCTGGGTGAATGCCGGCTGCGGAGAGCAGAGGTCCCAAAGGATCTTCTTGGCACACGCCGTGTTCACTGCTTAGGGGTGTGCTGTTGCCGGCGGCAAGATGTAGCAGTGAGGGATGGCCGTAGGGCAAGCGCGCCAAGGGCAGCGAAGGCCTAGGAGCAGAATCCTTGAGGGCTGAGACTATGCATGGCTTGGCGTGAAATGCTGTTGAAGGTGTTCGCAAGGTCAGTTTGGAGGACGACGCACTCTGGGTCAGCGTCCGCGCCAAGTGTACTATTGCTTCTCCGCCACCTGTGACTGCTACTCCAAACTGCAGCGGGAGGAAGTAGCTTCTTCCATCAGGGTGAGTGCTGCCTTGGCAGCAAGGCGCATGATGCTCTACCCTATGGCAATTGGACGTGCGTCTACATCTGGGTTGACTAGTGCTATGAGGCGGGACGAAGTCAGGAGTTTGGCGACTGGTTGTGACAATTGCCTCCTAACAACGTGTTTGTCAGCGCATGCAGGTGGGTGCAGACTGAGTCTTTTCTCAGTGAGGCATCGCGAAGGTGCTCAAATGTCATTCCTGATGGCACTAACAGCAGGTCGTCGTTAACGGCTAGGTCGTCGCTCACCATCTGGATACCGGCTCACCATTTGGTTACCGGCTCACCATTTGGTTACCGGCTCACCATTTGGTTACCGGCTCACCATTTGGTTACCGGCTCACCATTTGGTTACCGGCTCACCATCTGGATACCAGCTCACCATCTGGTTACCAGCTCACCATCTGGTTACCGGCTCACCATCTGGTTACCAGCTCACCATCTGGTTACCAGCTCACCATCTGGTTACCAGCTCACCATCTGGTTACCAGCTCACCATCTGGTTACCAGCTCACCATCTGGTTACCAGCTCACCATCTGGTTACTGGCTCACCATTTGGTTACCGGCTCACCATTCGGTTACCGGCTCACCATTTGGCTATGTTAGGAAAGACGTGTCCTGCGTCCTGGACGAATGCGTCCAGACGCAGGACGTGTCACCTGGACCTGTAAGACGCACCAAAAGACGCAATCTCGGGCAGGGCAAAAAAAACCCCCGGGCAGGCCAAAAAAAAGTGTATAGGGCTTGGCAGAGGGGGGGGGGGGACGTACCACACTTTTCAATGCAAATTTTTCCCCAACCTCAATTTTTTCCCCCAAAATTTTTTTACTAAGGTGAGTCACGCGTCACGCATGGGTTGTGAGTGAATTCTCAATTTGCATGAGTTGTTATGAAATGTTGGGGGGGGCTGGTTTACAATGGCGAATTGGGCTTTGGGGGTCGAAATTTCGCGATTTCCACATTCGTGCCGAAATCGCGAATGTCGAAATCGCGGAAAACAATTATTTTTTTCGGGCTGCCTGAAATTTTTTTCGCCGTGCGTCCTGCGTCCTAGCGTCCGGACGCTGCGTCCAGACGCAGGACGCAGCGTCCTGGCTGCGTCTTTCCTAACATAGCCATTTGGTTACCGGCTCATAATTTGGTTACCGGCTCACCATTTGGTTACCGGCTCACCATTTGGTTACTGGCCCTAGTGCTTCCTCTCCAGCCCGCGGTGTTCGCAACTCCAGTTCAGGGCATTATGAACGGATGTTTCTACAGTGGAATCACTTGGTTCCAAAGTTTTTCTGAATAACCAACTGAGTGCACATGAAGGCTGGTTTGTTGCTCTCATTGTCATGCCCAGCACCATACTCCGCTCTCAACTCTCTGTACTGCCCTACACTTGATCCCCCTCCCTTCGCCCCTGTGTTCCACTCCCCTCCCTTTGCCCCTGTGTCCCACTCCCCTCCGCCCCCTTCATCCCCGCTCCTCCCCTAATTCCGCCCATCCCCTGCCCGTCGCCTCCAGTCTGGGAGTGGTGCTGCTGGAGCTGCTGACAGGCCGCAGTGCCGTCACTCCAGGGAATGCCATGCGAAAGAATCTCAGAGACAGTGTGAGTGCGAGTGGAGCATTCTGAGAGGAATGGCAGCAGCTCAGTACCTCCATCGCTACGTGTTTCAAGTGTGATTTTGGCCCGGCAATTTCTCAGAATCCTCCTTCCGTTCACAACAGTGGTTAGGCAGCAGGAGACCCAACTAACCACTGGTACGGCCAACATGCACCAGAAATATGTGCGCTGCATTTTTTGTGTAAACGCTGGAGAAAACGCTTGGGCGGACTGGGAAACAAAAAACACAGCAGAAGCTGGGTTTGAGCTCGCGACATGGTGAACTAAAATTCGGCCTTTGTAAATCGCGGTCTCAACTTCGAATTTGAGTTTCGAATCAGATCCACAACAAAGCTGTTTACCATTGTGCAACCCACTCCACCCCATTCATCCAATTCCTTCCAACTCATAGCATGAATGTGGCTCATTCCTCCATTTGGTAATCATCCTTTGGACTTTTTCCCTCGTTCCTATCGACGAGTATTACTAAAGTTCCTCCGAATCCTATCTTTCCTTATCGCAACTGGGAACTGTTTTTTTTTTGTTTTGCTTTGTTTTACTGCCTGCCTTTGCTTCCTCCCATCCCTCATGCTCCTCCCCCAATGCTCCCCCCTCCATGCTTCGCCTCCAACCTGTTTCCCAGCATCACCCACTTCTCTTGGTCATAGTGTCCCTGTTTTGGGGTTCATGTTTTGGGGTTCATGTTTTGGGGTTCATGTTTTGGGGTTCATGTTTTGGGGTTCATGTTTCAGTTCTCAAGTCAGCATCTGACTTCCACTTCCTGCCCTTCACCCCACACCAGGTTGAATTGCAGCTTCAAGCCAACGACTTGGCTGATCTATTTGATCCTGCCCTCGCCTCCTCCTTCCTCCCATCCACCACCAATACCAGCACCAGCATCCCTAGCAGCAGCCCCACCAGCAGCTCCAGCACATTCTCTGGCGCCGCCAGCACCACCACGGCAGGCACAGCAGCTGCCAGCGCTGTCGGTACTACACTTGGCGTTCCTATACCGAATGTTCTTATACCCAGTTTGAAGCGGCTGGCTCGTGTCGGGCTCGCAAGCACAGCCATGCCGGCCTCCACCCGGCCCTACGTGGGAAAAGTTATTGCTGAACTGGAGATTGTGCGGGATGACGTGGTAACAGCACTGAGGCAGATGGAGGAAGTGGTGGAGAGGCAGAAAGGGGAATTGCAGGAAGGGAGGGATGCCATGGCAGGCAATCTGGGAAATGAGCATTTGGACTCGCGGGGCAATCCTTCCCACACTAACCCTTCCTCCACATCTCCCACTCCTTCCACTCCTCCTCCTCCTCCTCCTCCTCCTCCTCCTCCTCCTCCTCCTCCTCCTCCTCCTCCTCCTCCTCCTCCTCCTCCTCCTCCTCCTCCTCCTCCTCCTGTGGTCGCCCGCTCCTCCTCCCCGGCGCCGCTGCTGTGCCAGAAGGTGGCCATGGCGGACGTGCTGCGTGCGACGGCCGGGTGGGCGAAAGAGAGGCGCGTTGGCAGTGGCGGGTACGGCGACGTGTATCGCGGCGTGAGCCCCTTGGATGGCTGCACGCTCTGGGCTGTGAAGCGCGCTAGAGTGCTCACCAACGAATTCCGACGCGAGGTGTGGTTGGTGGGATGGTGGGGATTGATGTCAATGGGACGGGGGTGAGAGTAGGGGCGGAGTAATGAGAGACGTGCCCAGCAGCAATAACGTCAGAGGGCAACGGCTCCAGAGAGAAGCCAAGATGGACTTCAGTGGTAGCCAAGTTGGCGAATGAATGAAGGGAAATGCGAGAGGCATGAGCTATAAATCTAATTCTGTGGTTCGCCCCTGCGAGGGTTCCTTCCCACTCCATGTCCCCCTTTTTCCCCTACCCTCTTCGATCTCTCCTCCCATTCTACCTTATCCTTCCCCCCGTGCCTCACTTCATTGGGGTGGTGTCAGATCGACGAGATGGCATCGAAGCACCACCCTCACCTGGTGCGGCTGCTGGGCTATTGCGTGGACTATGACGCGGCGGCGGATCACATGGAGCAGATCGCCATCTACGAGTTCATGCCCAACGGGGACCTGCACCACCGCTTGCATGGCGATGGTGACACAGGTGAGCACCACCTCATGCACGCCCGTGACACAGATGGGCACCCTCGGGCTCTTACGCGTCTCACAAGAGGGCGCACACGGACAGGCACTGAGGATAGAGCTGATTGCAGCGTGGGGTGTGGGACCGACAACAAGGGGGGGAGTGGGAGCAAGAAGAAAAGAACGGAGGAGAGGAGAGGGATGAGGGACGGAAGGGAATGCAAGCTTGTAGGAGGAGAAGTGTCAAGGTTGATAGTGGCTGTGCAAATTATGTGAAGGGACGGCAAGTTTGCCTGCTCCACCTCCTCTTGCTGCTTTAGCTCCTGCCTATGTTTTCTTCTGATCCCTTTCCATTTCTTCTCTCTTATCTTCCTCTCTTCTGTTTTGCTTGTTAGGTAATATCACCCCCCTGACCCTGCAGCAGCGGCTGGACATTCTGATAGGAGTGGCGCGTGCGCTGGAGTATCTGCACAGCTTTGGCATCGTGCATCGCGACATCAAGCCCGCCAACATCCTCCTTGACGCCAACATGCAGGCGAGTGCATGTGCTGATGGGCATGCAGGCGAGTGCATGCACTTATGGGTATCACATGAGAAGCCAACATCTCATGCAGGTGCCTTCTCTCCACGAACCACCAACTCTCTTTGGATTTGGATAAGCAGTGACTCTGCAACAGTGCGGATCCCTCTGTGTCTGTTTCTTCCTTCTCCATCCTGCAGGCGAAACTGGCAGACTTTGGTTTGCTGAGGGTGGGCGAGGGCAGCTGCTCACTGCAGTCCACACAAGTGATGGGCACACCGGGCTATGTTGACCCCGTCTATAGTATCACTCATAAGGCCACTATAAGTGCTGATGTTTACAGGTGGGAAGGGGTGTGCACACGTGCATATGCTGTCCATTTATTTTTTTCTTAATTTGCCCAAGTACGCATGCCCTCGTCTCTTGTCTCACTCAGATGCTCTCTTTCACTATGGAGCGTTCGTTGCACATAGTTGCTCGTTAAGAGCCACTCATTCGACCTGTCCTGCACACCTCTTTCTTATCTTGTTTGAACCTCCTTTCTGCTTTCTACCCTCTCTCTCTTTCGCTCTTGCTCCGTCACTCTCTCCCCTCCTGCCTTCGTCCGTCTGCTCACTCCCCCGTCCCTCTCCCCGCCACTGCTCTCCCCAGCTTTGGAGTGGTCATGATGGAGCTGCTCACCTGCAAGCGTGTCGTGATGCCATGTGAAGATGGATCACACATCCACATCAAGGACTGGGTACGCTGCTAATTCTTCTTTCTTACAACTATCAATCCCCTTCCCTGACTTTCTGTGTGTGGGAAAATGTTCGTTCACACCGCAGTTGTTTGTTTCATGGAAACCCTTCAATACACCCTCCCCTCTCACTCTCTCCGTCTCACTTCTTTCTTCCAACCCCCCCTCACTTTCCTCCTTGTCCTTCTCCCAATGCCCCTTCCTTGTCCACTCACCCCCTCCTTCCAACACCTTCTCTCACCCTCCCCCTTTCTCTTCCTCCCTTTATTGACAGGTAGAGCAGCAGGTGGAGGGAGGGGACATTGCGTCTGTTGTCAACAGGGGTCACAATGCACCGCATGCCGCGGCCTCCAAGCTAGTAGAGATATCTCTCTCATGTGTTGCAGGGCTTGTATCAAATCGACCCAGTATGAGCCATGTGCTAGTTCAGCTCGAAACTCTGCGCAGAGGGCTGATGGGTGGAAAACAGGAGAGGGCAGCCAGGCTGTTAGATGCAGAAGTTCAACAAGCTTCAATGGATTCTAGGGGACTTCACGAGGAGCTTGAGATCATCAACGGTATGTCTCTTGATTGAGAGACCCCATTTAATTTGCGTTGGGGCTTTACGCGAGGCAGAGGTGCGATACTGCACACCCCCTACATGGGCGCAAATGCGCTTATAATAAAACATCGAAACATGGGAAGGGGTGAGGGGAGATGGTGGGGGGGATGGTTGCGGGGTGTGGAGGAGTGCTCATTTTAAAGCCAGTACCTAAAATAGTGACCCCCCCCGACCCCCCCCCCACCCCCCCCCTTCTAGTTCGGTCCACTTGAATTTCTAGTTTTTTTGTGCTTTGGAAAGTTGGAAATGTTCTGTTTCATTTTTTTGTCTGCGTCCATGACACTGGAGTCTTCACGTTCTGATCACATAAAAATTGTCGCATCCATGGGCAATTGAGTCGCAGGTAAGCAATTCTCACTCAACGCGCCGATCGGCATGGGCCTGGGAACACGGCTAAAACAGAGAGAAACAAGAGGGAAAAAACAGAGAGTTTCATGGTGATGGTAGAGACAGAGATAGACTCAGGAGGGATCTGGTGAGAGAGATGTGTGGGAAACATGTACCGTAAATGTTAGGGTGATGCGAGGGGCATTGGAAAGGGTGACGTGACTCGCGCTTGTTGTTTCTTTCCGTAAGATTGCAGGTGGTGACAAAAGTGATGAGAGGTGGGGCAATGAAGCGACGCCGACGAGACGGAGAGCACGAGGGCGGCAGGACGGGAGGGGTGAACACGAGGGGCGACGGAATGAGACGGATATGTCAAAATACCGTATTCTCCCGGATAAAACACCCTAGGGTATTATGAAAACCACTGGAAAAAAATGGGGAGGGTCTCCTCAAAGGAAAATCCTACATAATACCCGGGTCTTATTATATGGTACATTTTTTATCAAGCAGAAAAGATGTGAAACAAAATCAGGGGTCTGACTTCACTTCAAGATTGTTGATCAATGCCGCAAAACCGAGTACGAGGATATCGTGGGCCACTTGGGCCACTTCACCTCTTGGACCACTTGCAGTGGAAGATTCGCCAGCGTGGCGACAGGGAGATTGTGGGCGGGGGGAAATCTCGGAAGATTCTAAGTGAAAGTACATGCAAAATTTCTTCTAGGGGACGATTCTCACGATATCCTTTTGTAAGGAATCGGACTCGATAATAGCTATAATAGGAATCTATGAGAAAAGGGGGGTGTAATAGAAAATCACCCCAAAAGGGGGGGTATAGTACAAACGAGGTCGATTATAACACCCACCCTGCACAAGCTACCCAGGGGTGTACAATTTAGGGGGGGTGTTTTATCCGAGAGAATACGGTAGTAGCTATAGGCAGGGCCTCAGATGTCAGGAATTTTACCCTGAATTCCTGAAGTTTGACCCCCGTTTTTTATCATGACCCTGATGCATCAGCCTTTTTTTTTCAACGACCCTGATGTTTCAGTGTTTTTAAATTTCGAACTCTGATTTTCCAGTGTTTTGTGTTTGAGGACAATGACGAGTCAGTGTTGTATCGGGGTCTACCCTGAAACTGAAAACTCCTTGTTTTGGCGCGCCGTCACTGTGCACCGTGCACCAAGGGGATTTCTGGCGAAACATGCTCTGACAGGGCGAATCTCTTGTGTGAGGGGCGAATCTTCTGCTGTGTCAGGGCAAATCTGCTGTGATTGGGCAAATTTGCTCTGCTGCGACAGCGCGTAACGACTGTGCGAGGTCGAATTTGCCGTCAGGGCGAATCTGCTATAACGAACCAAGTCCGAATCATCAGTCAAGTACACAACCAGAGATCAGAAACAATTCTTAACAGTTGTCCTATTCAATTGGTCAGACAAGATTTCTAACCAATCAGACACGGAAATAGCAGAATCCTGACCGAATTTGGGAATTGTAAAGTGAGGGCAGTCTGATTCGCTGTGTTATGACAGCATACCAGTAAAGCAACTATGGTGATCAGTGTTGAAGTTGTAGAAACCCTGATTGATCAGCGTTTTATTTCTAACAACCCTGTAAATTCAGTGTTTCACACTAGACGACACTGAAAATCAGTGTTACCCTCCTAGGGACACTGAGTGCTCAGGGTACACAAAAACCAATCTGAGGCCCTGGCTATAGGCTAGGGTTTTGGGAAGAGAAAGTTGGCCAAGAGAAGAGAGGTTGCAATAACCATGGGAGTACAAGATATAGGAAGGGGAGGTGGTGAAGGGAGGTAGACCACCTAAAAACAAGATAAGGTGATACTACACTACTAGCCAGCAATGCAATTATATACTGTAAGAATGTTACATATTCTAACATCCCCCCTGAATTGCATGCTAGTAGCTAGTGTAGGGGCTCATCTCGAAGCACTGACGCCACCATGCCGATAACTGCTCTCACGGCCGGGTATGGTGGAATGCTCGCCTGCGGGTGTGCGCAACGAGGAACGACGGCGCCCGGATACAATGGATAGAGAATAGACAAGGAAAACAGTACATGCAAATCTCTCTCTCAAGCAGTCCTTACATTTATAGGTTCATACGGGTACAAGCAATACAGACAGGGATGATAAACAGGGGTAGGCCTAGAAGTACCAAGCATCCCTAGTTTGTAGGTAGCCACTGGTGGGGTTTCTGTACATGGGCAGGCATGAGATGCTGCCGGGCAAAGACTGACAAGGCATGGCCTGGCAGGGCAACTGGACAAGGCACGGTAGGCAGGCATCCAAGCAGGCCAGCAAGTATAGTGCCACCACTCAGGCACAGCAGGACAGGCAGAGCATGCTATCACGCTACCCTAGGCATTGAACCGTACCCGTACCGCCTACTCATCAAGAACCTCCTCCCTCTCATCCTCCAGCACTGTCCACAGGTCCCCGAGGGTAGGCTCCCAGGGGTCCCTTGCAGCCTGCGGGAAAGTTGGCTCATCCACTAGCCTCGACTTGTTCAGGAAGGATGTCGCCTGAGAACGTTGCAACATGACAGACCAACACTGCCTGTAATGAGCCGTTAGCCACGCGGTCGTGGTTGTAAGCTTTGTCTGGCGGAACTTTTTCTTGGCTGCCGATGTTGCTAGCAGCCGCAGGAACTGCTGTGTATCTGTGGCTAGGGCATCGTACGTCTCTACCGCCAGCCCGAAGAATCCCACATAGTCTGGGCGGCGCTCATAGAGTCTATGTTTCATCTCTGATGCTTCCTTCGTTGCCCACCCCGGAGGTTTCTTTGCCCTCACGTCTCTCCGCTGCAGGACAGGGTCCGTGACCGTCACGTTTGTCACCCAAGTCTCGTTAGACTCCTTGTTCCTGAACGCCAAGACCCCTCTCTTTTTTACTACCGGCAACGAGAAGGCTGTTGTTTCGTGGAACACTGTAAAGTCGGCTTCCCGGGCCATCCTCAGCGCAGCGTATTCCAGGGCATTGTGTGTCCTCACCACATCTCCTCCCACTCCGCAGTGTAGCAGATGATTCCGCAGGCTTGTATCCGCTATGTCTGAATTGTCTCGGTTGCATATGGCATTTTAGAGTGACTGGTAGCGACATGCCAAGGCAGAAGCCTAAAGCCAACGAGAATTGACCAAGGGCAAATGTAAGGTCGCTTCTCGTTGGCACGGCATGCAGCCAATCACCCGCCCCTACTCCCTGTAGGCTGATTAGGCGCACCACGTGCCCTCTGCCCGTACCCAACCTGTCCTCGATTGTATCTGCCACAAGCTCAGCTGCCCGCCTCTCGTTGATGTGGCGTGATAGCACCAGCTGCAAGGCTTCTCCCTGTGTACCCGTAGTGCTGTCTTGCAGCTGCTGGCAGTCTGCCTTCCAATGCCGTGAGCGGGTTGACCCCTGGTGGGTCCGGGGTCCACTTATGATCCAACAGCGTGGCTGCCCGGCTTACAAGGTGTGTCTCGGGTAGGTTTATCTGGCGCAGGAGTTGTTGTGCCGCCGTAACTTAAGCTATGTAGGCGGCCGGTGCTTCCGAGGTCGGATCTATAATGCCCAGCCCTCCCAGCCGAACCGGGAGTGTCCCTTGTCACCACATTCGCTCGCTGGTGTCCTCAGCTTAGCTGCTGCCAGCGCCGCCGCTAGCAGTGTTTCGCTCCATGCTCTCCACTCGTGCCTGTTTAGTACCCCGGCCGGGGCTGTTCGCAGCAGGTATGAGATTCTGCGCGAAATGCTCCACGAGATAATGAGCATGGCGTATTGCGGGTGTAGCTGAGCGACTAGGGGAAGCAGCAATGATGCGTCGTCAAGCCACATTTGTGCCTGGCTTGCGTAGAAGGCGACTGATCCGATCAGGCTGCCCAGCACTTGAATTCCTTCGTCCGTCATTCGCAAGCCAAATATTGTTGTTGCGTCGCTCGCCTCCGTCTCTTCTTGGCCCCATGCCGTCGATTTGGCGATGTTGCATCGAAGTCCTAGTGCCCCCAGCTCCCTTGTGATAGCGTTGAAGGCTTCGAATGCCGCTTCTTTAGGACCAATGATAGTTATATCGTCCGTGTAGGCTGCGATCGCCACGTCAGGCATGAGCGTTGCAGTGCTCTGTAGGACAGGCTGTATGGCCGCTGCAAAGAGCGGTGGGCCCAGCGGGTCGCCCTGGCGGACTCCTCGAGTGCTGACCAAGTCGGGGGTCCACCAGAAGTCATGAGGGGCCTCCGTAGAGTGTCAGGACCAGGGGTAATTGCGGCAGCACGCTGGATTGCGAGAGCGCTGTGAAGAAAGCCGCCCTCTTTGCACTGCAGAATGAGCCATCCTATACCGAGTCACCATCTGGTTACCGGCTCACCATCTGGTTACCGACGGCCTCCACTGGTGGGGGTCCTTGTATTGATATAGCCGTGGGTCCTTGTATTGATATAGCCGCGGATACCGACGGCCTCCACCAGTGTCCACCCGTCTGTTCCTCGATGGGGCAGTGGGCGGCCGACTCGTTGTGAACGATAAACCCCGCATCCTTCGCCATGCTAATGCATGCGACCCGCAGCTCATTGTGGGTGTTGATGCGGTGTTTTCCCGTACCGCAGCGGAGGAGGTGGTTCGGGAGGCGGGGGTCAGTGATAGCCGTGTGGTCAGA